GGAAGGCAGACTGGGCAATCTACTTCCGTAGAGATACAGCCTCAGAAACCCAGGAGGGGTCGCTATGATTCGGAATCGACTGGAGGGCAGTGAGTTTGATTTTTGGTTTTATCATTGATAAACCTCATTTCTTTTTTAAAGGCACATTTGGAATTATTTGATCCACGCAAAGGTCTAGATGGACAGAAATATATTACTGCCCTCACATTATACATGAGTGAATTGAAAAGCACAGTCGTGACATGGTTGGTAAGTGGCTGAACTGGGAACAAAATTCAGGTCTAAGGGATGCTCTTTTCACCAAACTATATACCACTTTGTGTCCTTTTCCTCTCTACAGAGGCCCAAATATCTAATAACGCTAATTTTTTTCCTCTCTAATTAATTTTGGCATCATATTGAAAGCTATAAACCAGATTTTCAGAAAAATGCACACATAAAATTCCGAATACAATTTCAGGATCTCGGGGATCCACTGATCCCCACATACATGCATCCCCGTCCTTGGAGCCCAGTTTTGAAGAGCGGAGTCTGCTCCAAGTTCTTCAGCTTGTTAAAAACTTCAGTCATACCCTCAGAAGGGATGTGCATTTCAAGAATTTGGAATGACAACGGCAGCTTCGTTCTCCCCCCAACCTGCTAGCGTAGAACCTCCTTCGACCGCAGAGCAAGGTGAAAGGTGCAAAATAACGCTCACGAAGTCACGGCGGAAAATCCCCAGGTTCCGGACTTGCCTTGCGAGGACGCGCACGCTCCGGGAGGGGCGCCGGCAGAGGCGCGGCCGTAGCAGCCACCCTTCGGCATGCGCGCCAGGAGGATCGCCGAGTCATCGATGGCGGGGGCGCGCTCACTCGCAGACCCGCGGGGCCGCGGACGAGAACTGCAGTCGGCGGCCATCTTCTCTCCCAAGGCGGCTGTTTCGTAGTGCAAGTGCGGGAGTCAACACCCCTTTCCCGGCGCCCTTGGCCTCGTCGGCGAACAGTGGGGGAGACTTGAATGAGGGGGGAGGTGAGGAAGAGCCGCATCCTCCAGTGTCACCGTCCCCGTCCTCCTAGTCTTCTCGGCCACCCCCTCCCCATCCCAGAGGGCAGAGGCTGGGCGGGCAGAGCCTCTAAGGGAGGGTGGGCTTGGGCTCCAGCATCTTTCGCAGCTGCAGCCGCCGCTGGCTTCTGGGTGCCTGGCCGGGCAGCGGTGCCCGTCCCTGCCCTCGCCTCTCCTCCGCCCCTGTGAGACCCTCAGTCCCTCCTGGCCAGCCCCGGGCTGTATTTAGGGGTCGGGATCTCCTCCTAGATGGGATAAGCTGTAAAGATGTTTAGTTTTGAAGGGGATTTCAAAACCAGGCCCAAGGTGTCCCTTGGAGGAGCAAGTAGGAAGGTAAGAGACCAGCCTTTTTGTATATTATATATGTTCTTTAAAATGTTCCAAGGGAGGAAACACATCTTTTTGTGAGCAGAGCTGCATTTCTGGGTGCGCTCGTCTTTGGATCGTATTTTCGCAGGTGGGGTGTGCCTAGAATAAGGCTATTTCCAATCGATGCTTTCCCCACCGCAGAGACCCACGCTGGGAACGCGCGCCCCGCCCGGAGCGGGTAGGAGCAGACGGCTTCGGCCAGAATGTTTGCACCCCGAGGACCCGGGGTGAGGAGCCTGGGGTGGTTAGTCTGCGGAAAGAGCTCTTTTCGTTCGCTTCCAAGTTTTAAGTCCGATGTTAAAGTCGGGGTGTACAGATGCGAGGCAACAGTTAGCATGTTGCTATTTTAGGATGCTGGCTTAAAATAAATAATTTCGACATGGCTATACTGCAGTTCCAGTTTTGGTGAGCACTAGGACTCTGACATGATAAAAAACCAAATGGAAGAGCTGACCGAAAGGGTACTGGCGGCAGTGCGATTGGTAAGGAGTCACTTCCTGAAATTGGCCCAGTAATGGTTTCAGTTTAGCTACCATAGGCAGGAGCCGTTTACATCACTTCTTGTTGTTGTTGTTATGTGCCGTCGAGTCGGCCCCGACTCATAGCGACCCCTCCTTGGGTTTCCGAGGCAGTATCACTACGGAAGTAGGATTGCCCAACCTTCCTTCCGAGGAGTGGCTGGTGGGTTTGAACCACCAGCCTTCTGGTTAGCAGTCAAGTGCCTTAGCCACTATGCTACCAGAGCTCCCGTTTACATCACTAGTGAGGCAAAACTTGTACGTTGCATCAGTAAGGATATGCTGAAAGCCTGCCGGAATCTTATGTGGTGGGTTTTTTCTTCTTCCTTTTTGTAAGATCTTGAAGGAAGGGCTCATTAAGAAAAGGTGTTTGTATATTAGAATCACCAATAATTTCTTTTCATTACATTTCAGAAACTGCAAGTATGCTGAATGTGTAGAGCATTTAAAATTTAAATAGACAACTTTGGCACTTTTTTTTTTTTTTAATACTACTAAAGGTGAAGTTACTTTTTCGGTGCAGAAGAGGCAAAGAACATAATGTTTCCTTGCGAAATGCACTTTAGATACTTTATCCCATTTGATACAGTGATTGCTTTTAAATGTTACCTAAAGAATATTTTCTGTTGGAGAAAATAAAAGGCTATATATTTTTTATATCAGTAATCCCTGAAATTGAATCAGAGCTTCTCTTAATTAGTCCCTTGTTTGAATCTTAAGAGTATGAGAATTACTTTCTGTCAGTCTTTTTTGAGAGCATATTTCTGGAGAGGCTGTGGGACTTTTTTCCTATTATGACTGGTCATATAGTTATTCTTATGATAATTGTTTAGAGTAAAGGTGGACAAATTATGATTATTCTGCTATTCCCCCAATTCTAAAAGTTTCACCTATCCATCTTTGATGAGTAGTATCTATAGATTCAGTGGAATTGTTGGTAAGTAGTAATATAGCATCAGTGTTGGCATTGCTTTGTCGAATGCTTTCCACCACGTCTCCACTGCTCTGGCCCACAAATCCCTTTTCTGCTTGTGTTTTAGTTTCACCAAATTAAAAATAAAAGTGTGATTCCTATGGATGGAATGTTTGAATTCCCATTTGAGTTTAATGGAATTCATTTTAGTTGCTTGTTGACCAAAGAATTTAAAAAATGCTCTTTAAAATGCTTTTGCTTATCATATATTGATTATAATACACGCTTAATAACTGCAGGTTGGCACATAACCTTGAGTGGATATTTGAGCCTAAGTAGGAGTATGATTCTTTTTTTTTTAAAACTGTGCTGTGAAGGTGTATGTATGATGTTTCTCTGTAGAGGAAGGGAATCTGGCTGGGGAGTTTAGAGAAAAACTGCTGAAAGTTTTCAGATTTTGAACTTTCTTTGATAGTGATGGGAGTTCTGGTGGCTGTAGTGCCTAAGGCATTTGACTGCTAACCAGAAAGCTGGTGGTTCAAATCCACCAGCCACTCCTTGGAAGGAAGATTGGGCAGTCTACTTCCTAGAGATACTGCCTCAGAAACCCAAAGAGGGGGTTGCTATGAGTCAGGATGAACTCAATGGCAGTGTGTTTTGTTTTGTTTTTTGATGGTGATTGGGTAGTTCAAGTATTATCCTCTGTTGTGCCTTTTATAGTAAAGCCAACCAAGACCAAAACTCACTGCCATCAAGTTGATTTCAATTTATAGTGATCCTATAGGAAGAGTAGAGCTGCCACATAGGGTTTCCACGGCTGCTATCTTTACTGAAACAGACTACTATATCTTTCTCTTGCTAAGTGGCTGGTCGGTTAGAACCTGATCTTCTGGTTAGCAGCCCAGTGCTTTAACCACTGCACTACCAGGGCTCCTTACAGTCAGACTGTTGTTGTTGTTATGTGCCGTCGAGTCAAACCCGACTCATAGCGACCCCTCCTTGGGTTTCCGAGGCAGTATCACTACGGAAGTAGGATTGCCCAACCTTCCTTCCGAGGAGTGGCTGGTGGGTTTGAACCGCCAGCCGTCTGGTTAGCAGGCAAGTGTCTTAGCCACTATGCTACAGTCAGACTAGTAGTGTTGAAATAAGGAGGACTCAAAAGGGTAGTTTGTATTGGTGGGAGGTAGGTACAATACAGAGTTGCCATTTAGGGACTGATAGGCTGATGGATAAGTTCATGGGAGCTCTGGTGGAATAGTGCCTAAGGCATTTGACTGCTAACCAGAAGGCTGGTGGTTCAAACCCACCAGCCACTCCTCGGAAGGAAGGTTGGACAATCTACTTCCTTAGTGATACTGCTTCGGGAACCCAAGGAGGGTTGCTATGAGTTGGATCCAACCCGATGACAATGGGTTTTGGGTTTATGTTCATGAAAAGGAGCTCTGCTGGCATGTTGGTTAAGGCTTTCACCTGCTAACCAGAAGGTTGGCGGTTCGAACTGCCAACCCATCCATGGAAGAAAGATGAGGCAGTCTGCTTTTGTAAAGATGAATAGCGTTGGAAACCATATGGGTCAGTTCTGCTCTGTCCTATAGGGTTGTTAGTCACAATCAACTCGATGACAGTGGGTATAGTTTTGGTTTGGTGTTCATGAAAATTCCACGTGGAAGCAAAGGATTTTTGTAGTTAGAAGGGACCTTAGAAAACTGCAGGGCCAAATCTATTTTACAAGTTTGGGAGGTTGAGTGATTTCATATTCACACTGCAAGTTAGTGACAGGTTACCAACTTAGAATCCATGTCATTTCCATTTATGTAAGATCTTGTGACTTATTACAGACAGAGTGCCTTAGCATGTTCTGCTAATGCAAGTGTGTTGATCCTTCTTTTTCACCAACTTTGCTCCAAGAAAAGTAGTTAACTGTTGATCAGAATCTCAAAGGGGAGATTGCACATCTTGCTTTTTAACTGTGCAAAGAATTTTCTTCTTTCCTTTTTTTTTTTGAGGCATAGAAGTGTGCATTTCCCTTGATATCTGAAAGTAGAACGTTGCTATAAAAACTTTTGTAAGCTGAAATGGTGTGAAGTAAAGAAGCAATTACCATTAATTTATATGGGAAAAAATTTTGAGTGTTCCCAGACTCAAAAAATAATTTAGCAAATCATACTAAATACATTCATATGCTGAGTCATAAGTTATATGTATGTTTAACTCTAGTGTATACCCTGAAGCAGTTTTCCTAAGAGTCTGTTTATATTCCAGCATTGCATGAGAGTTTCAGTTGCTCTGCTTCCTTGCTAGTTTGTCCGTTCTGGTGAGGCTGTAATGATATTTTATTGTGATTTTAAGTTTCCTGTTACTGTGATTTTAATTTTAAGTTTCCTGACAACTAATGATGTTGAGCAGCTACATATGTTTATGTTCTTTAACTCTGTTTGTTGCTACCTAAGTCCTTTCCTTTATTTAAATGGTGGGGGAAAAAAAAGTTATCATGATCTTTCCCCCATGTTTTAAAATATTCTTTGAAATCTTCTCTTTTTCCTTGACTTTGGTGGAAGGCTGAATAATTATCACCCATTGAATAAATCTTTTTCCAAGTTAAATGAACATTTCATGTGTTTATTATTTGTAAAGGCCCTGGGTCATGGCAGTTGGTTAAAGACTATATGTGGGATCTAAAAAACAAGGAAAAATTGCTACCCTTAAAGAGTTTATAATCTTTTTGGGGGGATAAGACTTGATTAAAATTAAGTAACTACATAGTGATTAACTACATTCTGAATTTCTCTTGGAGCTGATATAGGAAGAGGTAGACTTGAGTGTAGTCTTGAAGGATGGGTAGAATTAGGGTAGATAGAAAACAAAATAGTATTTCAGGTAGGTGGAAGACATACATAGAGAAGATAAAAAATAGATTTCATTGATTATATGTCACAGAAGATGTCACTTTTTAATATCTCTGAAGTCATGATCCCTCTTGATGGCATGACATAGTTTCATCATCGATACTTTTTTCTTTTTTGGTAGTACAAAGAAAAATATCATAGGGATCATTTTGTTGCAAGTAAAGAAATCCACTAAAACTGGCCTAGTAGGCTAGCCCCTCCCCCCAAAGAAAATAATTTATTAGAAGAATTATAATGATATCTCACAGAATGTAAAGCTAGAGATATAGCCAAATACCAGGTCATCAGTACCAAAGTAGTAACTCAGTCTTTCTCCTCAGACTGTATGGTCTCCTTTTCCTTTTTCCTTCATTCTCATCTCTCTGTGGACTGGCTTTCTCCATTTCACTTGCTCATGATCTTGGCCTTACATGATTTCCTTGTTCAGGTGTCCAATTGAGACAATTTGGTCTCAATTTCAGATTCTTGGGAGGGAAAGTCTGATTGGCCTGGCTCAGATGCCCACCTGAAAAGCTAATCTGGAGAGGGAGTTGGAGTCTTTTGGTACAAATAGAGCAGTCTTAGATGTGTATGAGGGGTGAAAGTAGATTCTGCAAAAAAGGGGAAGTGATTATGGAAGGAAATGTC